GAGTTTGAATAAACCATGGCCTAATCATAAAAAATGTTAAATACTAATGAAAATTAATGAACCAAGGTACAGTAACATATGAATGAACCTATGAACTTGACAGATGTAAGAAGCAAATCCAGGAGGATCTATACATTTTGATATTATTTTTTAAAAATTCAAAAGGACATTAAATAAAATATTTAGGGACAACATGCATATGTTTATATGTAATACTTCTCTTTGAAATTAGGATAAAGATAAAAATTGCATTCAAAATAATGACAGTGAAAAAGGCAGGCAAATGAAAAAATGGAAAAAAGAAGAGCATATTCTTGTGTACTAGTCACTAGCAAGATCTTAGCTCTTGATTCAGAAAGGGGGGTCATAGATTGCATTGTATTGTTAACATATTCATAAGATTACAGTAAATGCAGGTCACAAATAAGCAATGACAGCAAAATGTAATAAACCTAAGAGTATGAGTATTGTTGGTACCAAATGAAAATGAACAATGAGGGGTTGAGCTATGGCTCAGGAGTAGGTCACTTCTCAAGCATGCAAGAGGCCCTATGTTCATAGAAATATTAATAAATAATCGAAATAACTGAATAATTATTACCAACTGCAAATTCTGTTCCAATAAGAGGATAGGAAATTTAGAACCCCTACCCAATGTCCAATGCAGGGGTAGAGAAAAGGCCCTAGGAAGACATCCCTAGGTTGGCATGGCTAGAATCATCACAGGTATGACTGATACTCCTATTATCTGAGTTCCATATGGGTTTTTAATCTTCATATAATGCTTTTGATTCTGTATGAATTTTTTTTTCTTTCATCCTGTAACACAATACAAGTCAAGAACATAAGTTTGCTACAAGGCAAGAACATAAATTTGCTACCTTCTAGAAAATGAACAAGAGAAGAAGAAATACAGAGAATAAATAACAAACTAACATCTCAGAAATTAAGCTGAATATGGTGGCATATGCCTGTACCCAGCACATAGGAGGTAGAAGGAGGCCTTGGCTACATAGCAATTGGGAGGCCAACTTGGGCTACATTAGCAAAATTAATTTTCTGTTTTATCTATGTACTTCTGGGACTTTGGCAAGGCCACAGTCCTCCCATTTCCAAACCTCCAGATCAGTTTTATCATATTGTAGGGAATAAACTAAGACGATTCTGATTTCTATATCCTTAAATATTTACTTTGCCTCTGAGCCAACTCTTTGGTGGCTGAACTTGGAGAAAAACTTAATTACAATTTTCCATGTCCCCTTGCTTACTTCCTAAAGTAGAAACCATTGCAATAGATGATAAAATGAGAAAAAGGCATAGGAATCATATTAAGAAAGCACTCATATCAAGTGGGAAACAGGCCCTATGGCAAGCTGATTTTATTGCTTTTTTCCTATTTATCTGAATGCAGAGCTTATTAACATTATATTGCCAAATGAAGCAGCTGAGTCTAGTTCATGTCTACTACTAATATTATCAGGCATTAATAATTAATGTGTAAGTCAAATAAGCATTTCATAACGTTTGTATGAACCAAACAGTGAACTACATTACAGCTGTTTGAGGGATGACCCTGGTTCAGCTGGCTTGAAATCAATGCTGTGCTCACCCTTAGACGTAGCTTTATTTTCTCACTCTGACATGTTTTTCTTACATCGATTAATGAGCTTTTTTATTTTTATCTTTTCTGTGTTTAACTTGGGAAGAGAAAAATATGCCTCAGTTGATACATCTGAGTGCCAGGTAGAGAGCCACTGACTGCAAAAGAGCAAGAAAAGGGTTTTAAAGAAAATGTGCTCGATCTCTACAGATGGGAAACAGTTTCGACTTTAGAAGAAAAAAGATCTTGGAATAAGGAAGAAGTAAGAAGAGAAAAAAACGGAGAGAGGATTAAGGTTTCCCAGCCTAGAACACACACTAATAACAAGGGCTGATTTTGTCTTTCTGTATTATTGCACTGCATATAATTTTCCTTTTTATTACTAATGTGTCTCTCAAAGTGCAGAAGAAAACCAAAAATAAACCTAAATAAAAAAAAAAACGATTAAAAGCATTTTCAAACATTTGAAGAAACAGATTGTAAATGTTTAAATAATGAAGCATATGGAGTATTTCTTAGTCTTTAAGGGTGAATAACATTTTGTAAATATTAAAATATGTAAAAAAAAACCCTTTCTCAAAAAAAAACTATATTAAAAGTACTAGGTATCACATAAATATTCTTCAGTATTATATAATGCATGTGTGTGTGTGTGTGTATAACATATGCATATTATATATTCTGCTTGTATATATGCATGTGTGTGTGTATATGGATAAAATATATATCTAATCACTGCACTGAAATTGTGTTATTTCCAATAGGATTTAATTATTTGGAATAATTTTAAAAATAGACAAACATAGCCTATCAACTGGGTAATAAAGTGTCTCTGATTATATCAACCCTGGGCATTCCAATCTGCTCTTTCTTTGAGAAATAATCAATCTTTAAATCTATGGACATAAACTGATGACCTTGGATTCTGGTTTTTTTTTTTTTTATGTTTGCTGATATATACGAACTACAGAAGATTTTGTTTCATTCTCCACACATTTTGTAAATGTGAGCGAGACCTCCAAATCCCCAAGTGCTCCTGACCAAACTACCCTTTGAACCTCCCAATTGCTTTATGAAATACAACGAAAGGTAGAAGGAACTGATCCTGAGAAAGGGCACATGATTAGAACCACGTGTTTCATCTTTGTTGGTCTCAGACTTTGCCACAGATCATCCTTTGTCATCCATGTGTCTCTTCATAGAGTTCTGTCCAGGTCTCAATCTAAAATTTTGACTTCTCAAACTTGCTCTGTATTCTTCCAGATCCTTTCTTCTAAATCCTCTCTAGATACTAATTTCAATTTCTTCATCCAACAGAAATGCAGCCATTCCTTTACAATGATGTTTTTCCGAAGTCATAAAAGGCTTGGCTATAGAAGAGGTGACACCCCACCCTCAATGATGCTTCAGAAAATCCCTCTCTCTTATCTCCTTTCTGAAAATGCCAGACATTTATAGCACATCCCATCAGACTATACCCCTGGGAGTCATTCTTCGCTATTGTCAGCATTCACTTGTCTATCTCCCTGCCTTTTGTTATCACTTCCATTATCTCTGTTATCATTCTCAGTGAGCCCAACATCCACATCAATATCCCTTCAACACCTGCCTTCTCTCTCCCTGACTTCATGATGAGCAGTTGATTTTTCCCTACTGATGTCAGCAATTCGAGCCCACAGTTATGTCTTAGAACTCCTTATTACCAAGTACTAGCTGTTTCCCTTCCTCACATCTTCAAACGCTCTGCTCTCTCTTAATTCCTATCTTCCCAGACAACTATTTTAGTGTCATAACTCCAAGAACATTGTTATTTTAGTCAACTAACATAATTGGACTGTTCCCTATATTTTATTAGATTTCAATTGCTAGTAATCATGGTTCTCTCTATAGTACTAAAGGCAATTCCTTTAAAAATTCCTTTGCAACTCTAGAAGCCCTGGAGGGGCTCTTATTGCCTTCTGCTTTTCAAGGGCATCAAGTCTAGGATGTCAAGTGTGAGTTTAACCTTGATGTCATTCTAAAAAACATACTTTGAGAACTGACCTTTATATGAATTTAACTAGGATTTTTCTTTTTAACTTTCTCCAAACTGGCATGTCAAACTGAATAAAATCATCGAGTTTATACATGTACATATCATGTGTTGCCTATCATTCATGGCTAACAAAAATGTCAATTCTATTTCAACCACAGCTTGTGCTTGTGAAGTTGTTCGACCCAGCAATGGCTTATAGCTGATTTGAGACATGTTTTTCTAACTTCTTTAAAATTTTCATGTTCCAGAAATTCTAGTCTGTACTTGTGGGGACAACACAGCTGTGACTTTGTCAAGAACTGACTTAGATCGGTCTTTTACTCATTCAGGAGCCTATGGGAACTTCCGATGCTACACATGACTGAAGAGTGAAATTTGTTGACATTATCAGCCACTAGGCAGATCTGAAAGGTTTCTCCTTCCTGAAATCCCTCTCCCATGACACCAAGGCCCAGCAAGTTTAGGAATGTTCAGATGCTCCAACACAATGTTCTATCATGTGTGCTTTCTTCTAAAGCTAAGTGCTCCTCAACTTAACCTATTTTCCTCTTCATGTCCTGATACCAATCAAGGTCCTCAGCTCTTTTATATAATTAACTAAATAAATCTCAATGAAGTGGAACGATTGATGGGTCCAAGCTTCATAACACTTCATACTTTCAGAAACTGATTTGTAATCAGTGGTACAGTGTCAGGAGCCGGACACATACATTTCAGCACCTACTATCTGCTTTGTGTTTGTTCCAGGACTTCATCTAAGAGGTCTGCCTCTGTTCTGTTAACCATAAAAGGGTGAATGTTCAGCAACTTGACAGTGCATCAGAAATGTGTCCATCAATACTACAATGGGTTTGAAGTTATTGTTTTGGAGGAAATGAGAAGGCGTGGAAGAGATCTGGGTTTTTATTTGCATTAGGGTACATTAGGAGCAAGGAACTGGGTGAACTGTGCTGCCCAAGCTGTCTGCATCAGTTCAGTTAAAATATTTTCATGTCAGGAGAGTCACTACTCCAAAAGCCTTAAAGGACTTCCTGATTCTCCTAGGCACGAATCAGAACTCCCAGTGCCTGGCATTCTGGGATTAACATCTGGGTGCTCTCACACCCTTTGCCAGCACCTTGATGAATGTCTGTTCCACATCACGGATGCACGCATAGCAGCGGTAGAGTTATAGTGTGAACTCATGAGGTCATACAGTTGATACTTTTCTCTTAAGCGCTTGTACATCATAAATTATCAGTCTGAGTCAGTAGCCAATTGATTTAAACACATACAAAAAATGTCAAACTCATTTTATTCTAGAACACATTATACAATCATCAAGAAGTTCAAACTCCTAACTATGTCTTTGGGCTAGTATTAAGTAAGAGTCAATAACACAAACTAGGTCTGTATGGTTCCCATAGTCAAGAAAACCAAAACCTAAGAGAATATACTGAGTATGCTTTTTTTTTTTATACCTGGCTCTGATATCTCCCTAAATTCTTATGAAAACCATTTAATCGTTATGATTGGCCTCTCACAGATGATAACTTACTGCCCAACGGTGTATGTACTATCACATAGCTCCCCAAACACTAGCACAAAAATGATCTACTTTGTACTTCTCCAAAAATAACTATGACAAAATATAAATGTGCTCATTTTAATAAATTAAAATTTAGAGCGATGACTTGGCTTACCTTAGACTTTCATTTCAGACTCCCAGTTCCCGGGAATATGAACTTTTGAGTACCAACATTGCCTAATTGGAAACATATGTTCAGTTCAAGCTATCCTCCTTACCTCAAAGTACCTGCGTGATTCCTTCTACCCTCCCTCATCTTTGTATCAGTGCTTGTAAGATTTCAGCAGAGACTTGCAGTCTGTGTGCACTTGTACACTCACACACAGACACCCCTTCCTTCCCCTCCCCTCACTTCCTCAGATTTTCATTAGTTTGGATTTGGGAAGATTTCAGAAGTTCTCTTTCTTGGCTCTCAGCCTCTACCAGGGCAGCAGGGGGAGGTCAGGGATTTCAATCTTTCTGTACACTGGGAAAGGAAGTCTGTTCTTACCCATAAGTGAGCTCTCATTCTCCCCAGGTCTCGGTAAACAAATTAATCTAAGTATAAAAAGCCAAAACCAGTTAAGAAGAAAGGGGGACGGGTTAGAGGAGGAGGGAGCAGGGAAGGGGAGGGGGCAATTAAAGAGCTGAAGATGAGAAAGGATAGAATAAGGACTCCAAACATCGCCAGGGAAGAGCAAGAATGTTTTCCATTATAAAGGGCTCTTCTTTTAGAACAACAGGACTGCTGGATGTAAATGAAGTCTCCTACTGTTAAAGGATTTAACTCTGTCCAGTCTCCATTGGTCCTATTCAGATTAATTCGACTTCTTTGTCAGGGTCCTCCATTTTATCCTGAGCTCCAGTCTGCCTTCTGTGAAGAACTGCTAGGCACTCCAGATTCACTTCTTTCTTCCTGGTTGCCTTGGGCTTCCAAGGTCATCCTCTTACACAAAAGGAGTTCATCCTGCAATATAAGGAGCAAGAACTACTTGGCACAGGCCAACCGCAATACCATGGAGGAAAAACTCTCAAACCAATGGATAAATGCCAAGGTTCTTTTGCATGGAAAGTTACTCTTGTAACTACTGATCCCACAGTTACCAAGCTCCATAGACTCTCAACACATATCTTCCTCTAGTGTCTGAGCTTCTAAGGCAGCATTTAAACATTTGAAATAATTTTGTAAATAATCATCATATGAAATGTAAACCTAGCAATCCCTACCACAGAACCATCCACAGAAAGTTAGCTCCAGATGACAGAAGTGAGGTTAGCTGGTCACCTCCTAGTTTTCAGGCAAGATAACAAAGAGACAAAGGACCCCAACACATTTTCCTGCTGCACTGTGCAATCTGTGGAACACTAAGAATAGAAAGCGGGCCTAAGCACTCATCCAAAGACTCGATCTTCCTGAAGGTAAAATTTGAAGGCTGAAAAAGCCAGAAAGGGTTTACATTTAGAACAATGTAAGCAGTCTCATATTTATAAAAAGCCCTCAACTATAAACATGTGGCTACTTTTCAAATTCTGCATTTCAGTCCCTTCCACTCCTTGGGTTTTGTGCTAAGAAATAAAAGCTATTCTTTATGTAAATTTAGCAACCATTGAAATGAAAGTGTGCTGCCTGAGAAATCACACACAATGCGCTTCACAGTCAATTTATACATGTTTGAAATTATCCATTTTTCTGACTTATGCTCAATATTGTTCTTTCCTGTTTCTATGGATATTGTGTGTTGATTAACTATATTTCAAAAACCAACAGCTTTTTAAAATACATTTTTATAGTTTTCCAGAAGTACTCACTTGTCATGGTTTGCATCGGAAATGTCTTCCACAGGTTCCTGTTTTGATCATGTATTTCCCAGCAGCTAGCATGAGAAGGCCATGGAACGACCTCAAACCTGTTAGAAGTAGGCGCTCAAAGGTGAACTTATGAAAGTTACGCCAGCCCAGCTCCTGGTTCCCTCTGCTTCGGGGTCCAGCTGATATGAGAAGCCTCCCCAAACACCCCATCTCTGTGAACTGAGGTAGCTGTTCCCATCACGCCCTTCCCAACATGACAGACGACTCCCACTTTCTGAAACTGAGACCTTGAGCCAAATTGATCTTTCTCCCCTCAAGTCAACCCCTCCGTGTCCCAACAGGACCGATTGGGAGTTAGGATGGCCTTGTGTATAACCCCATTAGTTTTCTTCAACTTAGTGCTGTCTTGCTTCTCCAACACTGTTTACACTCTACTCCTTTTCTCCTTTATTGACTCTTCTCCTGCCAAATAAATCTGAGTATTTTTAAGACTCTTTTCTTAAATCACCCTCTACACTTGAGAGGACAAACATTTCATATTTTTTTCTTAAGTTGGTTGTTCCTCAGCCATCATCACCTATATGTGTTCTTTTAACCAAATTCAGTATCCCATCATTACCAGGGCTCCCCTTCTGCTGACACATTAAATCAGTTATACCATCTGAATACTCTACCTTCTGTTGAATTTCAGTTCAAGAATGCATCATGTTTACTGCCCCTTACTCTGTGAGAAAACATTGCATTAGCTCTATGTAAGATTTAAAAACAAAGAGGCCCTATTTCCTCATATCAGAGTAACACTTCTAATCCAAGATATTTTCTCAGGAAAGGCAAAATGGAGTTGAGGACATTGCCACTGTACAGAAGCATCCTATGACGACAAAGAAGCAAGATGCCAAGGAAGGCAGGAAGTGTCTAAAAACTGAAAAAGATGAGAGAAAAGATTTTTCTTTGAAGCTTCCAGAAAGAAAACAATTTTACCAGCACGGTGATTTGGGCTTCTAGAGTTATAAAAAAAAAAAAGAAATGTCTATTTTAAGCTATTAAGTGATTAAGTGTGTGGAAGAGTAAGAGATAGATAGATAGATAGATAGATAGATAGATAGATAGATAGATAGATAGATAGACAGATAGTTAGACTCTGAGAGTCTTTAACAACTGTGCTGTGACAGCTTCAAGACAATGATACTTCATGTCCGTGCCTGGAGAAAATGTTCCAGAACTTGCACAAAGTCTAACATCTAAGAATCCAAACCTAGGGAGACCAACTCTTACTAGTTGGGATTACTACCTGGAGATGTGATTCAGGATGCTGAAAAACATCTGCGCGTATGAAAGGCAACTTTAGGAAATGCTTAAGTCAATGCAAGCATATAAAATAGAATTCTAGAAACAAGTCTAACACTGGTGAGAAGGCATATGTTCCCAACAATGTGATAAAGTGATTAAGAGGCTCAATGGTCATGTTTTGGGGTTCAGATCCTGGAGTTATCACTGGGTGTTTTTATTCCCATCACTGAGATCACTATTGAATAGAATTACTGCCTATTCTTGCTCAGGATATGCCATGGAAATCTTTTGATTACTGCGCTGAGTTTCACATGTAGATATTCCTGCCAAAAGAGAACCAACCTACTGGCATGAACTGTGGTTCTCATTGTGAATTGGCATTTGGGTTCACATTTCAGTCTCTTGTGAATTTGTTTAGTAAGTCAATCAGTAAGGCTAAGTCAGAAATTACACAAATAAAATGAGAAAACCAAAGCAATTTGCTACATTTCTCTGGCCCATCCAACTACTTTACACTAGCCTCCTTCTGAATTATTTAGACTGACTGATTGTAGTGATCAGATCTATTAGACGATGGCTCTACTTTCCACCATAATTTCTATAGACAGACTCTGCGCACCTGGCATTGTCTCTGGAAGACTGGGCAGCTGCTCCACAGAAAACAATAACAGCTGTGGGGCTTAAATCATTCCATGTTTTAGGAAGATGACAACAGCATGGCAAGCGAGCAGCACGCTGGAAATTCCAGTTGGACCATTGCCTGCTGAAAGCACAGAATGGAAAGCTGCAATGGCAACACAATGGTGCAATTTAAACTCCACAAGGAGAGAAACCAGGAGCTTCCCCATGGGAACTTAATGATCCACAGTTTCATGGCAAGAGGACTATGGATACCTACCTCAGCACACACTTTGAAGTCCCTAAATCTGGAGCCTAAGTGAAACTGAAGAGAAACTTAAAAAGGATTCTCGATTCATTCAGATGCTGGGGTCAAGTTATAATCACTAATGTGTCCATGGACACCCCCTAATATGGTTCTGTATTCTTTTTATGCAAATTTCCTTTATGATACATGGCTATAGAATTAATTAGTCTCAAGTCCCACTAAATATAGCTAACAAAAATAAGTGAATGGATAAAAATAAATGAATAAATGGAAATACCGCCCGCTTCTTCACACAATTCCTTTGTACAATACAATCGTGCTGTAGTAACAACCCATATCAAATTACTCCTATCAACCTTAAATCAAACTCATGTAAACAGAGACTTTAGAAACAATTACCCTCAGCTAAGAAATCCTCACATTACTAGAAATTTAGAAGCAATGGACACTGATAAATCCACCAAACTCTTGAGCTGACCTTTAAATGATTTGATAAAGAAAAGGGCAGCCTACTCGAGTAAGAGAACAAAGTGTTCTCCTCCATCAAAATATGTGGCAGGTGCTGAGCTGGGTCCTGTGCCTCAAATGAACTAAAAGATGCTTGTCAGGGGCTTGATTTTCCAGTGCCTGTAGGTCTGAAAGCAAGACACTTCCATTATGAAACAGCTGGGGCGATAGTTCTTTGTGCACCATCAGAATCCTTTCTGAAAACCTGACCAAATGCAAATCATTGTCCTACTTAAAAAAAATCAGCAGCAGATTTCCCATTGTCTCTAGGATGGAGTCCTAACATTTCTTATGATTGTTTTACATGGGCCTTGACTATTCTTTTATTTCTTCATAATTGACAGTTTTATTTATCAGATTTTTTCCAGTTATAAAACTCATATGGTTATCATAAACAGTCTAAAACATACCATGCGTAAATATTAAGGTAAAGATTAACACCAAGAAATAACTGCCATTATTCATAGTCTATTTGCTTCCTGAGAACTGTTCTTTCCCACACAGACATGTCTGTATCCCCTTCCTCTCCCGTCATCTTTTCTGCATTGAGCCTGCCTGTGCTTCAAGCACATTCCATATCTTCTCTGTCACCATTTAGAAATACCCTAGAACAGGACAGTCACAAAGTCATTTTCCTCTGCAAACTACTGAGAGGTGCTACAGGAGAGTACAATATATTTCATGTTGAACACCCACATCTTCTTACCTTCTCCCTCATTTATTCAGAGGCGTTTAATGCCTTGAGATGTGGTTGTCACAGCAGAACCCTGTTGAAAAACATCACATTCCTGAATGTTGAGCTTCAAAATTTTTAATGAGACTTTGTGGCATCAAGCTTATCTCAAAAAGTATAGCTCTTATGTTGACAGTTTCCCTGGGTCTGTCCCAGTTTATAATACTAACGTCCTGCGTCCTGAGGAGACCAGGTAACACATAGCAGTTGGCTGCCTTGGTAAGGACCAGTTCTTCCTGCTTTTTGTTACCTGTGTTCTTTAGCCTTGTTAGGGAAAGAGTCTTGGAAAGCAGCCAGTGGGTCAAGAAACAGAAAGAAAAAAAGCTAATTTATATACATTTATATTTCCTGAGAAAGAGGATACGAGCCAGGGAGAGTGAGGAAAGCCATGGCAACAGAGACAGTGAAAGAAGTCAGGAAATGTACTGATCGGGGTGGTGGCTCTGGAGAGCCACTGATTAGCATGGTTCCATGATGACCCCATCACAACCAAATGCTGCCAACAGGGGGTGGAGGGGAGTTCTGAGGGTTCCTGGGCACAGTGGAAATTCCTCATTCTCTAGATAGAGAGACAGAATCCCAGGAAAAAAAAAAACTGCTGAAGAAGATCATTCACTTATGCGTTCAGTCAGGACTGAGAGCCAAGAGTCTGCACTGGTCCTGGTCACTAATGCTTTGGAATAATATAAATGAACATGATAGGACCTATTTTGTAGGTATAAATAGTCAGGAACTCTACAAGGAATGAGAGAATTTATGCTCTTTTCAAACTACAAGGAAGCATGTTAAGATTTCATGGGTACAGACAGAGGATCAAACTCTGAGGTAGAGATAAAAGATGATTAGCACAGGAGTGTCAGCTGCAGCATCCTGGTCATCTGCTTTAGGTCCCCAAGCTTCTTGGATTTCATGGATGTAATACCAAGAGGCTCATGATGGATGCCAGCAAATAAATGGGTTGCATTTACAGGGAAGGAACACAACACCTGGGGACTGGCACTGCCTTGATAATAAGTAGAAGCAAGTCTCCCTTGGCCTGGGAGACATATTACCTCATCTCTCAAGGCTGCTTTGCTGAAACGCAACTCGGAGAAACTGCCTGATAAAGAGCAGTCAGAGCCTGTGTTCTTGGTTGGCACACCCTGCAAGAACATGCAGGGACAACGAAGGCCCAAGGCAAATTGTCTCTCCCTTACAACTATCATTTAAAATGAGCAGCAAAACAAAGCGCATGTTTATATGGCATAATATTGCCATCCTTTTCCCAGTCCCTCCAAAGTATGAGCTTTGACTCACCATTTCACAAGAAATACAATGTTTTCCAAACATTGTGGGACTTTCAAACATTTTATGTTTGCCTATGACTGTTTATTGGTATTAAAGTCTGGTACCACACACACTGGTATTAAAGTCTGGCTGTTAAACAAAAGTAATATTCCAATATTTGACATGGACATCAGTCAAACAAAAGAAACCAGCTATAAGCAGGGAGAGTAGGGTGTTGTTGTTAGTTGCTGAGTTCAGCCATCACTGAGTTCTTGCTTAGCTTGAGATAGAGACAGGTGAGTGTGGTGGTATTGTGTTCCCCAAAATATTGTGTACCTTAATAAACTTATCTGGGGTCAGAGAACAGAAAAGCCACTAGTTAGGCAGTGATAGCACATGCCTTTAATCCTAGCATTCCAGAGACAGAAATCCCTCTGGATCTCTGTGAGTTCAAGGCCACATTGGAAACAGCCAGGCATGGTGACAAGTGCCTTTAATTCCAGGAAGCCAGCCTTTAATCCCAGAGAGTGGTGGTAGAAAGCAGAAAGATATATAAGGCGTGAGGACCAGAAACTAGAAGCATTTGGCTGGTTAAGCATTTGGCCGGTTAAGCTTTCAGGCTTTGGAGTAACACAGTTTAGCTGAGATTCATTCTAGATGAGGACTCAGAGGCTTCCAACCTGAAGAAACAGGACCAGCTGAGGAACTGGCAAGGTGAGATAGCTGTGGCTTGTTCTGTCTCTCTGATCTACCAGCATTGACCCCAATAACTGGCCTCCGGTTTGATTTTATTAATAAGAACTTTTAAGATTCCTGCTACAGATGAGCCTGAGAATTTGCAGGGTATATATGAGACCCCCAGCATATGCCCATGGATAAGACGGTTATACAGACAAATGTTGGCAACCACGATGGCCGTCTCTTTCCTCTAATTCAATGGGAAGTCCATTCAGAATATAATTTTATGGCTCCAGCAGCAGCAACAACAACAATAGAACCTGTTATTATTTTCTACACTTTCAAATAAATATGAACATGCCTGCAAAGCACAAAAATGAGCTTGTTTGGAAGGGCCAGGATAAAGTATGGCTTCAACTAAAAGACATGTTCTAGGGAGCAGCTGTTAGAGAAAGGTCAAAGAATTCTCCAATTAGAAAAGAAGATAAAATAATTTGGGGGATGTTTTTATAGGCTTAAGGAATATTATGAGTGACTCTAGGGACAATTCAGTGGCACTTAAGATGCTTCTTTTACATATTGTCAGTGGAGTGTGTCTGGCTAAGCTCTGTGGGAGGTAAGATATAATTGACACAGAAAATCTTCCCAGAGAAATTATGTTCTTTCCACTCTCTTTGGAAGCAATGCCGAGGCCCATGGGTGGCTCACAGCCTCACAATCAGCCACTCACAAACCCAGAAACATCTGAAAGAGAAAGTCCCTGTTTTCTTTCATCCTCTCAAGGAAAGTAATTTTAGGTTGTTTCCCAGGAATCACAGAGACATCTTGCCACATGGTTCTGGAACATTCTAACAAGAAAGGCACAGATGGCCTTATACCTGAAGACTAGAACAAAGTCATAGTGCAGAAGGGAAGTGATGTAAGCCTTGATAAGTATTCATTTTAAGGTAAGATGGTACCTGGACGATGATCTATTGAGTTGAATTAACTGAAATTATCTGGGCAGTTATTTCATGCTTCTACATCATATATCTGGAACCAGTATGCCATGCACAAGATGAGGGAAAAAAATCAATGTCACAATCTTCATTCTGCCTTGCTCCAAATCCACTGTGAATTCCCAAAATAAAGAAGCTCATCTTTGAAGATTGGTGGTGATAGCCCTCAATAACAGTGGATGTGAAGAATTAGAAAGCATCGGGCTCTTGGTCAGGACGGGAGCTAGAGCTAGGGAGCAATCCTAAACAGAACAACCAGAGAGCTACAATCTTAGATGGAATCCATGGTACATAGTGAGAAAGAAAGGAGTTAAAGGTAGTCTGCAGTGTGGTGGACATTGCGGATACTCATTCCCAGAAGTTACCATACATATAACCCAAGGATGGATGATAAGTTAATTGTTGGGCTGGCATGCTCAAGACTTAACTTAGGACATGGTGGAGCTGATCATCAGAAGAAGGTCTTCCATGTCTGCAACAAGGAAACAGAAAACTCAGATAAAAATGTGTGAAGAGTTCATTCCCGTGAGACAGAACACAAGATAACATGCACAAAGGAAGAAAAGCTCATTTGAAAATGATGGCTCACCTTGGCCCATTGTTTGGAAACAAAGCTGTGAAGTTCACAGTTGGAGCTGAATTGTGCACATGGAAATGAGAACATTCATTTCATCCAGGTTTATGGGAATGTATCAGAGTTATGTAAAAGAATGAGGTACAAAAGCCTAGCTGGAGAAAGCAGTTTGCTCAAGTTTAACCATCAAAACAGGGTCCCGACCCAGGGCCTCTGACTGCTGATAACGTTTTCTTGCTGCAGAGTGCAAGGTTAGATCTGTGTGTTCCCATCTGAACACCAAAGACACAGCGAGGGAGACAGATCGCTGGGTAAGTACCTACTGCCTAAGCATGGGGACTTGACTTCAGTTCCCCAGCAGCCAGGTGAACACTGGGTATGGCAGTTCTGTAACCCAACCACAGGGGTTGGAGAGTGTCATGGAGACAGGAGATCCCAGAGCTTACCATGCAGTCTGAATTGTTGGGCTCCAAGTTCAGCAAAAAGGCCTGTCTCAAATATTAAGGCAGAGGCCTGGCAAGATGACTAGATGGGCAGAAGTGCTAATCTGTGGGTATGGTATGATGACCTGAGTTCCATCCCAGGGTATCACAAAGTGGCAAGAGAGAAACAATTCCGTAGAATTGTCCTCTGATAGTCACACATGTCCCTCTTCCCTAAAATAGATCAATGCATGGATGCATGGATGAATGAATGAATGAATGAAAATTTAAAATGATAAGGCAGAAAGAAAAAAGAAAAGAAAACATATGTACCTTGGCACATCTGTATGCACACATACATATGCACATATACATGTACACACATGCCCACGTATGCACACATTTACCAAATAACCAAACACACACACACACACACACACACACACACACACACACACACACACACACACACGCCTGAGAGAGAGAGAGAGAGAGAGAGAGAGAGAGAGAGAGAGAGAACATAGAAAAGGACCTTCAGAAATAACAAGCAGACACAAGAAGACATGTCCTGCTAACAAGAAGAACCAAAACAGTTTTGTTTTACTGAAGTAAAAATAAATCAGTCCCCAAAGTCCAAATGATGTATCTACTGAAATTTTAACTTTTAAAAGGGCAAAATTATTCCTATAATCGTTTTAGGAGGTGAGAACAGGCAGTTAAAGTCCCAAGATATTGAAGTCTCATTCCTTATTTGAAGCACTGCTTTGTTTTCTATTAATAACCACAGAAATATTTTAAAATATCACAGCAGCATTTGCAGCATTTTAACCTCAGGTGACATGAAAGTCATTGATGAAGTAATCCTTCTGCTTCCCCAAGTTCTCAAGTAAAAGTTACAATAGGAGCTGCAAATACTGTGTCTTCATTGATTGATTGCTGTAAAGCACAGCAGTAGGATGGTTGACTACTAAGAACTATATATTGTTGGACTGGACAGATGATTCAGCTATTGAGAGCACTTTCTGCTCTTGCAGAAGACCAGAGTTCCAATCTCAGCACCCATGCTGGGTGTCTCACAGTCACTTGGAATGCCAGT